GTTGGTTTCAATCTCATGACAGCATTTGTTGCAAAAAAAAATATATTTAAAAAAAATAAAACTGTACCGGTTCCGCCCGGTAGACTGTCTATATTATTGTTGTTGAAAATTTATGGTTCCTATGGCAGAAAACCATACCGGTTTCACTCGGTAGACTGTGGCTTTCATTCTTATGAAAGCATTTGTTGCAATAAAAGATTTTTTTTTTTTTCAATAAAACCGNTACCGGTTCCGCGCGGTAGACTGTCTATATTATTGTTGTTGAAAATTTATAGTTTTCTTGGCAGAAAACCGTACCGGTTCCACCCGGTAGACTGTTGGTTTCAATCTCATGACAGCATTTGTTGCAAAAAAAAATATATTTTTAAAAAATAAAACTGTACCGGTTCCGCCCGGTAGACTGTCTATATTATTGTTGTTGAAAATTTATGGTTTCCTTGGCAGAACACCGTACCGGTTTCACCCGGTAGACTGTGGCTTACATTTTTATGGAAGCTTTCGATGCAAAAAAAGATATCTTTCTAAAATAAAACTGTACCGATTCCGCCCGGTAGACTGTCTATCGGGCAGTCGGGTATATGTCTGTATATTATTCTTGTTGAAAATTTATGGTTCCTTTGGCAGAAAACCATACCGGTTTCACCCGGTAGACTGTGGCTTTCATTCTTATGAAAGCATTTGTTGCAAAAACAGATCTTTTTTTTAATAAAACCGTACCGGTTCTGCCCAATAGACTGCCTATATTATTGTTGTTGAAATTTTTTAGAAAAAATAATGTTTTCGCAGCAGAAAATTGTACCGGTTTCATCCGGTAGACAGTGGCTTTCATTTACATGAAAGCATTTGTTTGCAAAAAAAAAACTTTTTCTAAAATAAAACCGTGCCGGTCACGTCCGGTAGACTGTCTATATTATTGTTGTTGAAAATTTATGGTTTACTTGGCAGGAAACCGTACCGGTTCCGCGCGGTAGACTGTCTATATTATTGTTGTTGAAAATTTATGGTTTCCTTGGCAGAAAACCGTACCGGTTCCACCCGGTAGCCTGTTGGTTTCATTCTTATGAAAGCATTTGTTGCAAAAAAAGTTTTTTTTTTTTTAATAAAACCGTACCGGTTCTGCCCGATATTATTGTTGTTGAAATTTTTTCGAAAAAATAATGTTTCCGCAGCAGAAAATTGTACCGGTTTCACCCGGTAGACTGTCTATATCATTGTTGTTGGAAATTTATAGTTTCCTTGGCAGAAAACCGTACCGGTTCCGCCCGGTAGACTGTCTATATTATTGTTGTTGAAAATTTATGGTTTCCTTGGCAGAACACCGTACCGGTTTCATCCGGTAGACTGTGGCTTACATTTTTATGGAAGCTTTCGATGCAAAAAAAAGATATCTTTCTAAAATAAAACTGTACCGGTTTCGCCCGGTAGACTGCGTATATTATTGTTGTCAAAGATTGTTGGAAAAATAATATTCCCTCGGGAAAAAAGTACCGGGTCCACCCGGTAGACTGCATGTATAAATGTTGTCAAAAATTTGTTGAAAATCTCTTATTTTCAAAGAAAAAAATTGTAGCCGTTCTCGCCCGATAAACTCTTGCTGCTGTTGCAAAACATTTCTTTTTAATGAAAATTGTTCTGATTGCGTCCGATAGCCACCAAATATTATTGTTGTAATGAATTTGCTCTTCGATCAATATTTCCTTTGAAAAAAAAAAAAAAAATACCGGGCGCTCCCGGTAGTATTCTCATCGTGTCGTGATTTTCGACGGCTTCAAAACGAAGAAAATCTTTGATTTCAACATTCTGTTAATATTGCATCCGCCATCTGCAGGAGCAAGGCGATACTATATTTCACTCCGATCGTTAGATTTCACCTCTTCTTACTTCAGCATTCCCCCTCCCTCATTTCCGGTTTGGGATTTTGGCCCTTTGGGATTTTGTCCCCCATCCCATAATTCAACTGTACATAAAAAAAATGTCCATAACCATATCTGTCCACCATCATTGCAGTCGGCCAAACAGTGTCGGTAGAGTAGAAATTGCATTCGTTTTATTTGCAGTCGATATTAATTATGAATGGCACCATGTGTCCCACTATATCACAAATGATCGTCGACCAAGGTCACGGTTCTACCGGGTGTCCGCTGTTAATTACACGCATATGTATCCCAAGTAGTGGCAAGTAGACTCATTTGAATTGAGACATCAATCTAATATCATTGAATGGTTTAATAAAATTGAAAATCCAAATAAACTCGCTGTGAATTTATATAATTTTATCGAAGAGTAATTAATGGAATTTTAAAAGAAAGATATCAATGTTTGATTTTGGGTCAACGGCTGAGCCTCACCTTGTTGGAAATTGCTGGCGATTTTTTCTGGGTCGAGAAATGGCGTGCTGATGCCTCTAAAGATGGTTTTGAATCAGGGAAGACTCCTAGACCCCACTGGACAATGTTGTCACAACTCTGCTTTTCAATTGAAAACAGACATCATCTTTAGAGACATTAGCACGCCATTTCTCGACCCGCTCTTTCATTTGAGCCCAAAAAAACATTCATACCTTGTCTGACATCTCTGCTATACAAACTCTGGTTTTCAACTCTGGTTTTGAATTAAAAAAAAAGCCAAATCTTCTGTTGTCGAATCTTTCGATAGTTTCAGCTTTATTTCAATTAATGCATTGACAAAATCTTCTCCCGTCAAAGCTTCTCAATAATTTTCCATTCTGGTGAATGGAAAATTATTATTCTCATCAGTACTCCCAAGAATAAAAAAAAGTTGGTAAACAAACGTTGATAAAAAAAATATTTAATAAAATTTTTTTTTGCATGAATTGTGTTAAACAGTCTTTCTTCGATTGTTTCATTTTGCCCCACTCTCCGCTATCAGTTCTTCGCCCATTCTACTGACGAATTATGTAGCTTCAATAATCCAAAATTAATTAATTTTGATCTTTCTATACAACTGATTCTGTTGAGATTTGTTCCTATAGAAATCTATTGGCTTCAATTTTCTAGATTTTTATGTTGGAATTTTGTTTTGAGAAGAGGAACAATGCAGAGAAAAAAATTCAGAAATTCATTTTGGAGAACTTTTATAGAAAATACCTCATTGTTAGGATATAAATAGATCCTTGGACTTTTTCTATGAAAGATTTTCTCAGCAGAAGTCCAGTAAAAATCCAATAGAATTTTCTAACGAATGCGCTACAATTTTCTATTGAATTTTCATGCGTTTGCAATAAAAATTCATTAATTGTTAACAAATCAGTAGCGAAGTGGTAAAACGATTTAAGTCGACTTGGATTTCAGATGAGTTTTCGAGGAATATCTTCAAATCTAAGAGAGATCGCGAAATTTTCTTCACAGCTTTTTTGTAGCTCTCAGGTCGCTCTACAGAAAAGGTTATAACAAACATTTTACTGTATGCCTTAGACTCCAAGATAGTCATTGAAAAGAGACGAATGGTCAAAATCGACTTAAACCGGTTTACCTTTTCGCTACTGAAATGATTCGGTTGACAGTAATAAGTTGAGACCAATTTGTTAACTAACATAAACATTAACATAACATTAACTAATTAATTATGTTAACTAACATAATTTGTTAATTACGGGTAATAGTGTTCCTTCCAGATCGACGCTTTTTTCATATGAAATGTGTATTCATTATTAATAGACCTTGGAAAACGTGACAGAATCAAATTCCTGACTGTGACTGGATCTTTCTCTTAGTAATTTTATTGTAATTCAACGGAAAATTTTGTCACCAAAATTTCACATCATGTTCCTAACGACTTGATTTTTGTTGTTATGTATCCTCCAAATATATTATGATTTATAAATGAAATATTATTTTTTTATTGTTTATATGACTCATTCCTTTGCGACTTTTGCTGTAGAAATTCTTGGGCACAAATTTTCCAAATTTTTTCCACTGCATTGTTTTCTCATTTCTCATTACAAAATTCAAGGAAAAAAATTCAGAAAAATTAAGCCCAGAAATTCTCACAGAATGAAGTACACGAAAATATAATGTACAGCAAAATCAGCATCCATTGACTTTTTTCTAGTCAATAATTATTGGACAATTGAACGGCAAAATTGGATTCAATAGAAATCGAAAGATTCTATTTCCATTGATTTTTTCCGTACTTGATCAAATCATCCTCATGATGAATAATTTCATGAGAAGTTCTGAGACTCTTCAAATTGAAAATTTTCACAGTTAACATGAAAAATTCCTCGACATATTCTCCTGAAATCAATTCTCTGATGAAGATGAAAATATTTTTCTTTTTAACAATATTCAATTTGACTCACCCTATGCCTCCTGAATTCCTCTCTTCAATCATCTAATTATGTCGATCATAAAATTTTTTGTACCTGACGAAATTCCCCACACAAAAAGGTCTCTAAAAATTTATCCACCTCTGTTCATCCCAAGATATCAGCAACATTCCGCACATTAATTTCTCACCTTCCACTTCGTAGCTAATCTTAAAACAATCACTAAAGTCTCTCGTTTCCACAGATTGATAAAAATGATAATCCATTTAAAAAGCAAATTCACACTCCTGGAAGAATTGATTTCGCTTGTCGACATTTCGCTGTACGCGTAGAGTACGTTATGTAGACATTGGATCAGGTGAGACCAAATGATGATTAAATAGAAAGAGTTGAGTTAAACTGCTTATGAATGCAGCCATCAAAATCAATCCTAGATCCTTGGCTCTGATGGATTCTCGCAGCAACAGCAACACCAGGAAAATAAAGGAACATCTCAAGTAATTTATTTTTGAGGGATTGTCAATTCCAGTTTTGGTCTATAATTTACATAAAACATTGAAAAAATTATGATCAATATAAAATGGGAATCCATACTCTTCGAAAAATGTATTCTGCTTGTCGACGTTTTCCCTGTACTCCTGGAGTACATTGTAGACACCGGACCAAACCAAATGATGATAATTTTTTTATTTTTGGTTCCATAAGTATACCCTCTCGGGTTTTTACATTTTATTCCCTTCCCTATCTGCGTTACCATGGGCCGACTTACTTTATCCCCAACTGCACCCCCCAAATGATGATTATAAACCTCGAGTTTCTGGGCCACATGTCCCTTCATCATATCATCCATGTGTTCCTGCTTATAAATGCAGTTATCAAAATTAATCCTGAATCCATGGCTCTGATGGATCCTCACAGGAGCAGTGACACCAGGAAATAGAGGAAAATCTCAAGTAATTTGTTTGAGGGATTGTCGATTCTAGTTTTGTTCCCTAATTTTCATAAAATATATTAAAAAATGATGAATCTAAAAGGTGAATCCATACTCTTCGAAAAATTTATTCTGCTTGTCGACGTTTTCCCTGTACTCCTGGAGTACATTGTAGACACTGGACCAAGCTAAATGATGATTATAAACCTCGAGTTTCTCGGCCACATGCCCCTTCATAATATCATCCATGTGCTTCTGCTTATAACTGTACCCATCAAAGTCAATCCTGAACCCGTGATTCTTGTAAATTCTCGCAGCAGCAGCAACACCAGGGGTTAAAAGGAAATCAATTGAGTAGTTCAACCTGACATTCGTAGCACAGATGTTATCATCGTAACTGATGCTGTCATGGACAATTGGAAGCTTTGGGGAGTCAATCACAGCCAGTGTGTGCCCCGTGATCTTCGTCTTACCGAGGTATACGAGACGTCCATCCTTGACTGAAGCCCAATCACTGCTCGTTGGATTCAAGGCTCTTCCCATATGATGAGCAATCAGGGAACTAATGGCGATCCACTGCTGATATTTGAAGAATATCTCCCCGCAGATGGTGTACACAGCTGCTCTCACCATGTCTGGCTTGTTGAAGGTTTCATTCTTCGGAATTTCGATGAAAAGTTCCACGAAGATGTCGTACAGACCAGATTGCGTTCTCGATAATTCCTCGAATATGTCTGAATGGCTGTCAAGGTTGGAGTCTACTTCGTTGGCGGAATAATAGGAGAGAGTAGACGATGACGAGAACGAACCGTTTGCTGACATTTTCATGGAGATGAGAGAACTTTTTGGTTAGTTTTATTTACTTCACACACTTATTCATCACACTGTCAAATACAGTTTTTTATTTCTGAGAATACGGAGTTGTTGGAATTTAATGTGGATGATTCTCCGTGCTTCAGCATACGCAGATGATCACGATTCGATAACATTCGATAAACACTATTGGGCTCGCTAAATAAGAAAACGCCACCTAGGATCTAAGGCGCACGGGCACTCACACACACAACACAACCAAATTTTGTGTTTGTGTAGGTGTGTATATGAGCGTCTTAGAGCGACCATATTGGGCGCGTTTCGCAATCGACGTAGTAGCAGTAACAGTACTGCAACCCTATCAATTTTGCTTTACTGCAGCTACGGTAGTTGATTCCGAAACGCACCCATTGATGAAAAACAGCGCCCTCAACGGTATTTAGCGAGTGCAATTCTGATTTTTTGATCTCGGGTCTTGTGATTTGAGAACGCACTGATGCTCTCCACTTGAGCGTGCTTGAGCGGAATGAAATGACTGGTAACTTCGCACTGGGCGTCTGTATTTTTTGTCAACTCTGGCGGATCCCCCGTTTGACATTCGATCGACTGTCGATTGTAGAATTGAATTAATCAGTATATCGATTCGTATGCCAGTGTAGTTCGATTCAAATCTCAGATTATTGATGGAATCGAAGATGAATCGACTTCATAGGAAGTCGATAGCTAGTGAATTTCGAATGACAAAAATTTATTGCACCAAAACTTGAACGAGTCATGGGGTGGTCGATTGTGAAAGACTCTTTATGGCACGCCGTGCAATAAGTCGAGTTTATCGCACGCTGCGCTTCGCGCAGCGTGCTTCAAACTCAACTTCTGCGCGATGTGGCATAAAATAGTATAGACCACTCGGGCATAAACTTCGTTTTCAACGAATGTGAATCAGACTTCGCCTTCAGCTCGGCCTGTAAACTTCACAATCGTCGAAAACGAAATTTGTGCCCTTGTACTCTAATGTACTAATGTCAAGTCGTGCAGAAGTCGAGTTTTGAGCAGGCCGCGCGAAGCGTGTTCTTTTTTTAATCAGAAAACTGAATAGATTTAGTTTTTTTTTTTGTAAAAGTTCTTGTGTTAAAATTTCTTAAATATAAGTTCTTTGGCATAATCTTTCTGAGTTTTGTATTTTCTCTGGTCTATCATTGGAAAAAGAGAAAAAAGTTAAGAAATTTGTTCCTTTTGTACAAAAAAAATGAACAAAAATTGTATAGGTAAATATTATTTTAATTATCTGTTTCTAATTCCTTGGTGAATGCCATATGATTTTCTGTGATATTTTCTCATACTTTGTTCAACAATGTAATTCAAATTTTCAGAATCCTAAATTTGTGTGAATTTCCGAAGGATTTCAAAGGTAGCTAATCTTATTAAAGACAATTGTAGGGATTGGAAGGTGAATAGTGCTTCCTAGAATTTGGGTCAAACGTAAATCTTAATAAATCTTCTCAATTTAGGGGATCAATAGAAAGTTATGACAATTAAATTCCTGAAAAATTAAGAACTTTTATTCTCAGTTGATGGGATCAAATGAATCATTTATACATTTATGTTATTGTGTAGAATTAAAATTGATTTATGCATATTTACAATTTCTGGTCTTTTGACTTTCATTTATCATTTCATAACACAAATATTGTCCTAGTTCATTTAATGTTAGAGTCTTTCTTAATTGATTAAAATTGTTGAATATATGTTACAAATTTTAGTGTATATATATACCTTTTTTACAACCTTGGCTGTTACTTAGAACGTTGAAAACCCGATAATTACGTCAATGTTCTTTCATCAATATAAAAATACCTACTATGAAATATGAGCTAGAAATTATTTTAAATATTAGGAGAAATCGTCAAGATTATTATTATCTTCTATCTATCTCGATTCAAAGATTCAATTTGAATTATGAGAGAAAATGAAAGTAATTCATGGATATTTACAATTTACAATGACAATTAATTGATTATTTCATACCATTTTCGTAGTTGATTCAATGTTAAAATGAAATAAAGTTACGGCTAATTGATCAAAATTGTTGAATATATATTACAAATTAGAAGTGAATCGACATTCTTCACATTTTTAATGGTTACTTAGTGTTTCTAAAATCCAATAATCACCTTCATTTGTCGTTTTAACCATGTACTTACTGTAATAAATGAGCTATCAAATTAAAAGCACTCTTCAAAAACCCAAAATGACTCATTTCACAATGACTAGCCCAACTCAATGTTTAAAACTCCACTGAGGATTATCTAACAATGATATACTACACTACCCCTGTACATTTAGAAACTTTTTGTAAATAAAGAGTACATTACAGTAATTGATTTCAATTCCTCGGAAAAATTTTATACCAAAATGTTAGTTTCCGATTCAAAAATTCAGAGACCGATCATTTTGGAAATATCTCACGCATGAAAAGGTTCGAAATCATTAATTGGGTGACCTTTTTCGTTATTATTAAAATTCAATATCAAAAGAGGACGATATTACAAAAAAACATCAAATGACTTCTGTTCTAGCAAGCAAACATTTGCCACTAAAAACAGGCCCATAATAATTTACCCTACCCTGGTAAAACAATCCGATTATTTCCGACTGGGTGATAAAAAATGAATCGGCGTTAATGATGTTTTTGTCTTTGCCCGTTAAATTCCGATTAGCTGATAGGTAGAGTTTGGAGTTTGAGAAAATTATGAGAGTTAATGGGAACAAGGGTATGTGGCCGTTATCGTCCGATTACTTTCCGAAAAAGTGGTTGATAAATCTCATATTACGCATATAAATATTTAAATGAGCAATAAATATTAAAGATTTATATGAGCAATATGAAATCTATTAACCACTTTTTTGGAAAGTAATCGGACGATAACGGCCACGTACCCTTGATCCTATTATTTCTCATAGTTTTCTTAAACTCCAAACTCTACCTACCAGCCAATCGGAATTTAAGGGCAAAGACAAAAACATCATTAACGCCGATTCATTTTTAATCACCCAGTCGGAAATAATCGGACTGTTTTACCAGTGTAGCTTTCTTCACACGTACGGAAACATTTTACAGAAGAACCTAAACCTTTCTGGTATTCGCTAGAAAATTTATTGGGATTTCTGAACAACTTCTATTAAAAACTATACATTTTTCGCAGAATCTACTGAAAAAAATTGCAGCTTCTCTGCGTTTTTTTATTCAATAGAAATCTTCAATTGAAAATGTTCCCAGGAAAAATAATAGAATTTGATTTTTCTTTACACCTACTTAAATTGAGATATTTTCTTTAGTAATTCCTCCGTCTAAATTTTCCAAGTTTTTTGTTTGATTTTTTGTGCCGAGGAATTTTTATCGGAAATATCTTAATAGAATAAATTGTATAGAAAGATCGTATTCCACGAATTTTTTTTCTACAATAGTCTCTATAAAACACTTTCTGTTAAAAAACGACGCGGGGGAAAACTGCGGAATTCCTCAATAGAATCGGCAAGAGACTAATGGAATTTTCAACAGAAAACTAATATAATTTCTTCCCAAATGTCTTAGATTTTTCTATGAATGTTTTTCGTGCGTGGATAATCAACATACGATACTCTGCCCAAAATTCCCCACTTATCCCTTCCTACCTCGATCATCGCTAATGTTTAAAAACCTATAAGTCTCATATTCTCCTAAAATTAACAAAAAAATGACAATTGATCTAAAAAGAGAATCCATATTCCTCGAAGAATTTATTCTGCTTGTTGATATTTTCCCTGTACTCCTCTAGGACGTTGTAGACACGAGCCCAGGCCAAATGATGATCATAAAACTTGAGTTTCTCAGCCTCATGCTCCTTCGAAATATCATCCATGTGTTTCTTCCTATAAGTGCAGCAGTCATAATCAGTCCTGAATCCATGATTCTTATAAATCCTCTCAGCAGCAGCAACACCAGGAGTCAGAAAGACATTGGCAAAGTAACTCAGCTTGATGTTCGTAGCACAGATGTTATCACTGTAAGTGATGCTGTCATAGACGAGTGGCAGTTTTTTATGCTCCTCTACTGCATACGTGTGCCCAGTGATCTTCGTCTTTCCCAGGTACCTGAGACGTTTATCCTTGACTGGAATCCAAATACTGCTCGTTGGATTCAAGGCTCTTCCCATCTGATGAGCAATGAGGGAGCTAATGGAGTTCCACTGCTTGTGCTTGAAGAATATGTCCCCACAGATGGTGTACACCGCCGCCCTCAGGGTGTCTCCCTTGTTGAAAGTGTCGTGTCTGGGGATTTCGATGGAAATATCCACGGAGATGTCGTATAAACCAGATTGAGCTCTCAGAAATTCATCTGCGATTATGTCTGTCATATTGTCAAGGTTCGAGTCTACAGTGGAGAAACTGTCGCGCATGAGGAAGACTTCTGAAGAGGAGGAGGTGTTAAATGAGACAGACTCCGTGTCACTCATGGAATCATGGGAGAGAGTGGCTGATGAAAATGACTCGTCCGATGACATTTTTAGGGAGGTATGAGGACTGTTGATTAGTTTTGCTCACTTCAACCACTTGTTTATCGCAATAATGAGCTGTCAAAATCACGTTTCCGGAGACGGTTGTTTTGATAACACTGACTTTGGGATTGACTGAGGACAAAGGTTTACACCTTTAAAGATGAGAGATTTGGGGTTTATTATTGACCAAAGCTCAAAACAGTTCAATCGCCACTTTCGTGTTAATTCTATTGATTTTGTTGATTTGAGGTTTTGAGATTTTAGAACGTTCCGCCACTGCGAGTTGTGGTAGAACGGTAAAGGAACCACAGGGCGGTTCCAGTCCCGGGCATTCCTATGCAAACGTCGGTCTTCTTCTTCTTCTTCTATTTTTATGGCACTGACCGAAATGTCTTGCAGCCGTTATCCCACTGGTGGGACGTTGCGTTACTAGTGAGGTGATGGAGATGATAAGGAAGGGATTGTCATGATCCCTTGTGTTAGGAAGCGGGAGATTATAAATTAGGAGGTTTAAATGTGCACACGTCGGCACGTATGCAGCAATGAGAGAGACAGGGTTGAGCATAGAGATGCAAAATGACCGTCATTTTTTAGATCGCGTGATATGACCAAAAAATGACGGTCATGTGACGCACAAATTTTCCAACTACAAATGATTGTCACAAATCATTTGTAACCAAATTGTTGTCAAACCATCTATATAGTTGCATAATGACGGTCATAACTAATTTCCAATTTGTGACGGTCATGAATAAAACTAAATAGTTTCATCTATATGGATGGAAAAAAAACGTGATTTTCATTTTAAAATGCGGATTAGGCCAATACAAAAGGAATTCAACTCAAAATTGACCGAGAAAAAAATAAAGTTTCATCTATATAGATGAAAAATGACTGTCATTTTTTCTTGACAAGTTGCGACGGTAACAGAAGGGGGAGGGGGAATATGACAGCCGTCA